TCTCCGACCCTCCCCCGTTCATGCTCTGTCTCTCTCTCTCTCAAAAATAAATAAATGTTAAAAAAAAAAAATAGTTTCTAAAGCCCTTTCTACAGAATGGGAGAAAATATTTCTGGGTCATATACCTGATAAAGGTCTAGTATCTAGAATATAAAAGGAGCTCTTACAAGTCAATAACAGCAACAAAAAGATGACCCCATTTGAAAACGGGCAAAGGAACTGTGTAGACATTTCTCCAGAGAAAATACATAGAATAGATGGCCAATAAGCACATGAAAAGATGCTGAATATGATTACGCATTAGAAAATGGAAATCAAAACCACAATGAGATACCACTTCATACCCACTAGAATGGCTATGATCAAAAAGATGGACAATGACAAGTGTTGGCAGGGGTGTGGAGAAACATCCATTACTCATCCATCCCTCTGCATTGCTAGCAGGAGTGTAAAATGGTACAACTACTGCAGAAAACAGTGTGGAAATCTTTCAAAAAGTTAAACCTGCAACCCAGTAATTCTCTTCCTAAGCATATACTCAAGAGAAATGAAAACAAATGTTCACACAAAAACTTGCACACAAGCGTTCATAGCAGCACTATTCATGATGACCAAAAAGTGAACACAACCTGAATTATCCATCAGGTTAGTCCATTATCCAACAAGTAAACAGTATGTGGTGTGGTGTGTGTGTATTATTTAGCCATAAAATGGAATGATCTAACATTCCACGTTGTACATTCTACACATGCATGAATCATGAAAACACTGTGCTAAATGGAAGAAAACACAAAGCATCACATAATTTTTATTCCATTTATTTGAAATGTCAGAATAAGAAAATCCATAGAGACAGGAGATAGATTGGTGGTTGACAGTGGGAGAATGAGGAGTGCCTGCTAACGAGTATGGGATTTCGTTTAGGGGGATAAAATGTTCTGGGATTTGATAGTGATGATGGTTGTAAAATTTTGTGAATATACTAAAAACTACTGAATTTTGCATTTTGAAATTGGGGAAATTTATGATACATGAATTATATCTCAGTTTATTTTTTAAAGTTCCTAAGTTGATTCTGACAGCCAGCCAGGTTTGGGAACCCCCGTCCAGACTTAGGGCCAGCATCATGAGCATGAGACCTATGCAGTCTCACAGGGCTCTACCCTTAGCCTTGCACTTGGGTAATGCTGTACTGTCCCCATTTTGAAGTCCTTCATTTTTTTTTTATAATTGTTTAAGGTGTACAGTATGATGATATGATACATGTGTATGTTGCAAAATGATTACCACAGTAAGGTTAGTTAACACATCTATTATCTCACATAGTTAGGATTTGTGTATGTATATGGTGGGAACTTTTAACACCTGTTCTCTCAACAATGTTCAAATATATATTACAGTATTATTAACTATAGTCACTATGTTGTACATTATATCCCCAAGACTAATTCGTTTTATAACTAGAAGTTTGTACCCTTGATCTTCATCCATTTCCCCTGCCTCTGCCTCTGGTAACCACCAATCTACTCTCTGTTTCTGTGAGTTTGTTTTTTTTCAGCTTCCACGTATTAAGTGAGGTTATACAGTATTTGTTCTTCTCTGACTTATTTCACTTAGCATAATGCCCTCAAGGTTCATCTATATTGTCATAAATGGCAGGATTTACTTATTTTTTATGACTGAATAATATTACATATGTATTTATAAAATTTCCTTTATCCATTCATCCATTAGTGGACACAGATTGTTTCCATGTCTTGGCTATTATAAGTAGTGCTGCAGTGAATATGGGGTGTAGATACCTCTTCAAGGTGATTTCAGTTCCTTCAGATATATACGCATAATTGGGATTGCTGGATCATATGGTAGTTCTATTTTTAATTTTTTGAGAAACCTCCATACTGTTTTCCATAGTGTCTGTACCAATTTATGTTCCCACCAGTAGTCACAAGGGTTCCCTTTTCTCTACATCCTTGCTCACAGTAATCTCTTAGTTTTTGATAATAGCCCGTCAGCAGGCTCTCTCATTGTGGTTTTGGTTTTATTTGCATTTCCCTGATAATGAATGACCTGTGCCTTTTCAGGTAACTGTTGCCCATATGAATATCTTCCTTGGAAGAGTGTCTATTCAGATCCTATGACCACTTTTTAATTGGGTTATCTGTTTTTATTTTTGTTTTTGCTATTGAGTTGTAGGAATTCCTTATGTACTTTAGATATTAACCCCGTATCAGATATTTG